TTCTTGCTTATCAAGTCACATAGACATTTACAGAAGCGAAGTAAGCCAGTAAAGAGCATGCAAAATTATAACATAAGCACTTATAGCAATGCATATATTTTGTTCTTGCATCAGTACTAATTACTATACATAGAGCAAAGATCTTAACTTAATTATTAATAATTTGCATACCTAAGAAAATTCTTTCATCAAAGTCTCCAACGCTCAGCATACGCTGTTCATAAGACTTGTTAATGGCCTTGTTGTTACCATCAAAATTCAATGATTCTAGCATACCGGAGAAATTTGACTGATCACCGCGTAAGATTTTCTCATTAAATAGCTTGTTAATGTAATTCTTCATGCAGTATTCTTTTATAGCTTTAGCTTCAACAACTATTGCATCATGACGCTCACACAACAAGTTAACAATGCAATTTGCTGCTTGTGGTGGGCTATAATTGTCATCGTTAAAATTTGTTGGTAAGCCTGTAATACAAAAAAAACATGAAATGAAATTTTTCCTATTGAATCATGATTATATTCCACTTTAAGACTAATTCTGGGATACTCACCGGGAAAATTAGGATTGAACAAGTCTTTTCTGTTAGATAATAGAGCATTACTATATATAAGATCGCAGCAGACTAGTAAGAGATGATAGGAGTTAACAAGATCGTCCGAGATATCATGAATTGCACCTTTTATGCATATAAACAGCGTCCAGCAAAATTCAAAGACCCTGTTGGGTGTACAGGGTACCGGTCTATGTCTTCTGGATCTATGTGGTTTCGAGGTATCGTCTCGTGGATCTTTGAATATATCCGCAAATATTGGTTGATATTTTTTAAATATAACCATAGAAACTGAGAAATTAGCCTCTAGCTTTTCTATCCTGGCTCGGAAGTCCTGCGGCATATTTGCCATATCTGCCCATGACTTGCTCTTTGTAAAGAATTGTATCAATGGAAGATTACATAGTTGCAAGAGACGGGTCAGTGACACGCAATTGCCTTCCACATTAGTACCTGGTCTTCCTACAGTGGGTATAGAAAATTTTCTACAAGCGACATATACTGCACATCCTATCCAATGTAACTGGTCACCCTGCAAAGATACATTGAATATCTTTTTTGAACAAATAATCATACACGTATACCAAACATGTGTTAAAGTATTTGAGACTAAAATAAAGTGAAATATTATTAATAGAAATGGGATTCTATGAAATAAAAGAACACAAGGGAAAAGATTGTGTCCCCGTAAATAAAAATATATAAATACATGTATTTACACATATTGCAAAAATAAAATCAATCGACAATTTCTACGACGCGATCCTTTTGTAATTAACGGGCTAAATAATTTGTCTATCGGGCTTTGAGCAATCGGTCGAGGTGAATAAACGCCCAAACATCGCCCGCTTGTCTCGCAGGGATGATCGGCGATTCAAGGACAATCATGCACCAGGACAACGTCCTCTCGACGTCTTATGCGAAGCAATATCGTATTTGCCGTCGGGATGGCTGCACTATCGAAAGGTAAATATTACCTCGAGGGTATAATTCTGTCGAATAGTCTCGTAGGATTTCCAAGCCTCGGACGCGGCAGCCGCGTCCATATTCAGCTTTTGGCAAAGATCCTGGTGCCGGCCGTACATCGAATCCTCAATATCATCCGACTGCCCCATTTTTTCACGACGTAAGTCCAGTCGGACGAAAACTCAGACGAGATGCTGCGAGAAAAACACTCTTTACACCGCCATGCAAAAACTTCGTCGCGCTCTAACGGGGTTGTGCTGTGAAGGATTGGCGGGAAACGACGGAAACGACACAAGCGCCGACATATTTGCCATGTTGGCGGGAATATAGCGCAGCAGTGCACCAAGTGGCACCATCTGTACGCCTGCGTGCGTAGGACTTTTAATTGGACATCGTCTTCCGATTGGTTGGAAAATTCGGGGTGTTGGCGCCATTCGTTTGATTCGTTTGTCGGGTCTTGGTCTGGTCAAATAAGATAACGACTCGTTATCCTGATTCCCGCTGCTTTTCCACAATCGACTTTGGTTGACGAGTTTCTGTTTTATGATTTCCTCCACTATCTCTTCCTGTTTTTTTTTTTCACGCGGATGCGATGATAACCGAGATATGCGTGCGATTAGGAATCGTGAATCATGAACATTTTTACCGATGCTTTTCACCATGCGTGACGTTTCTGCGTGTCCGTTGAGATCTTTTAGAACCTTAGAGTGCTTCCTCATGACAATCGAAATTTCGAAAAATGGAATATCGGAAAACATACGACCAATTAGAATCTTTTTAAGTTTAACGTTATATATGAACTAATAATTCTGATTGGTTGTATAACTTTTTCGAGATTCCGTTTTTTGAAATTCTGTCTGTCATAATTTGGAAGCACCCTTATTTCTCGAAAAATTGCATACAAAAATTCAAGGGGAATTTATTATATATATAACGTTCGATTTAGACACGTGTTTTGCGCATATAATCTCATCATTCTGTCTTTATCATTCATTAAACGTAAAACAATAGAAGCGCTGAAAGCGACCAAATCGAACGCAGCCGAGATGAAAATGACAAAAGTTAACAAATTCAATAGGTGTTGATCTACGAAATAATAAGTATTCCAATAATTTTGCTCACTTTTGTAATTTTCACCTCAATTTCAAGATACACAATAATCGACTTCTAGATTTTCTCGAAATTAGCTCTTTCTCTAATTTAGGATTTTTTCTCAGTATTTGTATACTTAATGCTACTCATCGCTATTTTGTCGCAATTACGTATTAAAGCGAGAAAGTAAGCGAAGGATCGAACGTTCTACATTCTCATTCACATATGTCATTAAAAATGAGAATGGGATTTGTAAAGAGAGATTTTAAAATCGAGAGATTCTATTCTAATATAATATTTAATTAACTTATATATACTTAATATATTTAAAAAGCTTATAATTTTCCCATATTTAAAAATTTTATATAATTATTAATTTTTATAAACTTTTATTAATTATCACCGATACATTTTTGTATTTACAGGCATTAATTAATAATAAAATATGTAATTTTTTTGAAAAATATTTTACCCTCTTTAGTTTTATTTTTAGCGATGTTTATTTCAATAAAACTTCTTTTGAATGAAAAATCAACAGAGATAAACAATTGATGAACTCTCGGAACGATTTTTATCGCACCGGAAGTTTTGGACAGTGCGGTCTGCTTAGGATGCAGTTGGTTTGTTGATAAGAAATATTTATATAAACTTCTTTAATCGCACGTACATTATGCTTTTGTGAACAATTTTTATATTATATCATACATATAGATTACAACATATTGTATCATAGCTGTACAAATAGAAAAAATATAAATTCAGAAAATAAATTTCCTTATACATTTTAATATAAAGAGATAAGAGAAAAACATTAAATATATGTAACATTTGAACATTTTTCTTTAAAAAAATTCCGACAAGGCATCATCTTCTCGATATTTAACATTACATTTTGTATTTAATATTAATATTTATATTTAATATATTTAATATTAATATTAATATTTATGTAATATTAATATTTATAATAAATTAATATTTTGCACGTATATATAAATTGATCCTTTTATAATTGATCGTCGCACGATTCGATGAAAGTTGCAAGTTCTTTCGAATTCCATTATGTAAAATAACAATACGTTATCTGTGGTTTTTTTGTTTTAAAGTCGCTTGATTCATTCCCAACCCAATAAAAGATAAATTTCGTGAATTGTCCGCAATGACGTTCGCAATCAGCGGAAGTAAGAACAAAAAGTCCACTGATGCAGAACTTCAAACACCGGGTGGGAATTACGTTTTTGACGCACCGAGCGATACACATTTATTCTACTAGGCGTGATGTGCACAAAATAAATAATTCAAACGTGTGATTCATAAAAACGATGTATCGTCAGAATAATAAATCATATAGCAAGTTTTATCCCGAATTCTGACAGTAGCGTGTAACGTAAATGCACACATACACACATGGAGTAATTGATAAGCGATATTACGTGGCGATAACTTATTGCAATTTTCTGTGACGTAATAATCTATGAAGTTTTATTATAGTTTTTCCTCTGTTAATCGATACTCGTTTCTTTATCGTCGCCCGTCTCTGCGCAATTTGTTTGCCATGTTATCGCTACTATGATATTATAATCTAACGTTTGACATCGTTTGCAGGAAAATTGTTTTCTCATAAAATACACGCAATGATAAATGATTCCTCTAATGCCCCTATTGCATCTTTACCAGGGTGCCTGCATGAGCCCAAAGTAGATCGAGCATTATGCAGAACGAGTACGAATGTTATTGAACCACTTAACATTCATACAGTGTCCAAATAATCTCATTTTAATATATATTTTTATTAACAATTGTTTCTCCTCCGATTTCAACGGGGTGTCAGCGCAGATGCGCTGAGAAAGAAAACATTGTGCAAACCAGGAATAAAGAGCGAACGGTGAGTCAATGTCAGTGTCTGCGTTCAGCTATGCGTTGTGTACATGCCACTCTTTAGCGTCTCTCCCCGCTAACGTCTCATCTCGTTCTTCATCATCGTCATCGCATCATCGTCGGTTCGGCTAACAATAAAAGAGATCGGCGAACTTGTGCCCCGTTAGTATCCGCGTGTTCTCCATAGCGAGTGGGATCTACTCTCGGCCGGAGAGCACCGCTTTCGAAGATCGTGCCCACACGATGCTCGACACATTCGCGTCCATCAAGTAAAGACATCGAAATCGTGCGATTTTACAAGGCGATTAAGCAAAACTGAACTTGACCTGTATCCTGGGTATACACCAAAGCGTAGCGTCGAAGTAAATCCATCGAGACGATCTCACTGAGCTTCGAAAACTTCAGGAATACTGTCCTGTGCTTTTTCTCCTCGTATTTTCTCTCTCAGGTTGGTGTTAATTGTCACTTATTCGGATTTCGATTGGCTTAAAAAAAGTTGCACTGTCAAAGAATCTGGAGACACGGTAGTGTCTCGGCGTTAAGCTAAGCGCAGCGTATATATTATCATAAGTAGATCCTTCTTTTACGCTTTTTATACCAGCACGTTTGTAAAGAAAACTTTAATTGCTGATATAATAACGATAACGAGATATAAAAAATACGATACTTTATATAAAACTTATATGTAATTGTAAAAAAAGGACGCTGCAGTAATATTCTTTCTAAAATGATTTTCAACTGTTGGTACAGAGACAGTAATAGAACAAATAAAATACAATAAAATTATTGCAATTTACAAAAATATAATAATTTATAAATTTTAATAATTAACATTATGGGTTTTTCATGAACAATAACGAAATTTTGGAGTAGTATTCTTTTCTAATATTGATTGATATAATTATCGTTCCTTATTTATTACTTACCAATGACTATCAATTAACAATTAAAAATACACTAATCTTTCATACAAAGATTTCATTACTAAGATAATTATAATGTATTTCAATAATTTTTATAATTATAATAATAATAATTACATTGACTGTTGAATAGTAATTACTGAGAAGTGTTCCACTCAAGAATAAAATATGCTAGTATTTTTTCATAGGGTATATTATCTATTGTGTACGTAAATAAAAAAAGATACGTAAAAAAGCTATACGTATAAACTATTCATGACGATTTTACTTTCACATGTGGCCTTCAGGATTAAATCCTGTCTAGAAGTAGCTTTCGGTAAATGAGTGGACGTCTTTTTTTTAATGAATTGATAACGTCTAAAGATAATAAATGTAATATGAAATAGAGCAATCGAATAAAATAAATATCATGTATTTAATTAAGGACGCTGGTTTTATATAAATCTCTAATATTTATATAGTATACAATAATTTCCTTCAATTTTGTTTTATAAAATAGTGTTAATAAATTAATAGTTGTAATTATGAATATTCTGATAAATTAAAGTAACTCTTTAATTAAGATTATTAATTGATATAGACGTAATGATTATTAATAAGAAATTTTAATATTCTTATAAAAAATAATTGATACAAAAGAAATTTAATTTATGAAATAAATGCATCAATTAATTTGTCGTTTTTATACTTCATAAGAAGTGAAATCTGCAGTGTGCAGTATTTGGTGCAATATTTGGTGAATTTAATTTTCATATATTAAAATGAATTTAACAAAATTATGTTACGATATTTTTAGTACAATATTAATGAAGAAATTTGAAACGTTCCAGAACACGAAACGTGTCAAATGTTATCTGACAATATACATCTCCGAATGATAGGAAATATATATAGACATTAATATGCATCACTAACAGATAAGCATGAAAAAAACTGGATTAATAGAGCGTAATTGTGAAAATAGCTAGTTTTGACTTTGAAGCGGAAATTCCAACTATCAGAAACGTCACTGTTTAATGTAAATAGTATGCGTCAGCATATAGTACTCGATAGAAGATCCGTCTTGGAACACCACATGGAAATTGATTTTTCTTATCTTATTTTATCGTATATTTATACAGAAGATCAACAAACTTTCCCCTTCCTTTTAAATATGGATTTCTACGGATGTATGGATGTAAGAAATTTGTATCCGTATTTGAAAGGGAAAATCCAGATGACAATCTTAACAAGATTTTTCTTGGAAAGATTATTTTATTTAAATGTCCTGAAAGTTAAAACTTATCATTCAAATTTTGAGCACGTGTAGTATTTATCAAAGTAAGCAGAAAAATGTTAATATAAATATGAGTTTTCGAAAACTATTTATTCTCGGGAACAGAAGACATCTTGAGGAAGTGGTTTGAAAAAATATTGAAGTATTGTGTTTATATGCAGCTAAACCCTATTCTATTAAACGTATCAGCCACTCCCTTGGGAATTTCCAACGACATCATACGTGATGTTTCGCGTCTCTTTCAGAAGACACGCAGGTATTATTCTCACTCAAAAACGCTGCTATTCCCGATATACATCCACAAGATTCGCCTTAGTATTAACACAAAAGAAGTATTGTAAGTTGGTTGACATTGATTCATTGCAAATTCTAGGCATAAAAGCACCTTGGTTAAAGAAAATACTCAAAGACAACGCTATAGAATATCGTAATAAAAAGATGAATTAAAATCTATAGAAAATAATTTTTAGATATGAAAAAATTAAAAAATTTTGTTTTTATTTATATTTTTGAACAATATTTTTTAATTTTCTTTTATTATATATTTATACTTTTCCTATTTATGTATTATCTTATTTTTAAAAATATTTCTGTAAATTATACATATTCCTATTTTCTAAGTTCGTTGTGTATTGATAATTTATATTTAACATATAAGTTCTAGCAAATTATGTACCTATAGCATTTTTGACAAAAATAATCGATGTTACATGTCCATAGCTGTTATTTCTAAGTAATTAGAATTACTAGAAGCGATAGAGTAGATAATTCTACTACGTTGGACACATTGGATGAATGATTATTGAACTATTACTGTAATGAACACTGAAAAAATTAAACACAAATTGTTTTGCGGTTACACAAGATTATATCTCATAAATTATACAGAATATTTTTGGTTTACCGAAATATTTAAATTTTACCAATTCAATGTTGCTTTTCTTCTTTTAAAATAAATAATCCTTCTCTTTTGCTTCAACACTAAGCTTTTAATATTAAAGTATTAAATATTTCATTGATTTCAAAATATAATCTAAGACATTTAAAGAAATAAACTAAAAATTGCGTTAAAACAATTATTAATTGTAAAAGTTCATAAATAAAGTTAATATCTCATCGGTTTACGTATAAATAATAAATTGAATTAAAAGTAAGTAACAAATTAATTATAATAGAAATGTTTATCAGTCTGATTGTATTACGCATCCAGTGAAAATTTTTATTTTGAGCATATTTCCTGCCTGTAGATATTTCTATCAAATTACTTCCTGACTATTTATCTCATATATCTATATAATTAGCTAGATGCGCCTGACACAGTTGATTACGTTATTCCAAATTAATGTCACTTGGAAATACCTATCTTATATGGTGTAGTGTGCAAAGTATTTTTGGATATTCGTGCCGGATTATTATCGGCATAAATGTATCATAATTCTTGGTGATATACATCAATGATGAGAAATGAATTGTTATCACGCCTACAAATAAAATTGTATGTTTCTCGGAACGGTTCGTTGCTCATTTATACACGCACGTGGCGAGTAATTATATGAAGTACATTAGACGTTATTATGTTTACGTGACTTCGCTATTCACCATTTGCAATAAATGCGGCATTCGTATTCATGGTCGCGAACCAGTAAGTGTGATTCCGCAATCGCTTTTTCGGGAAACGAATGCCCACTCTATTATACCTCTATAAATATCTAGCTATGAAATTATTTCAATCTATAATTGGAAATTATTGAAAACTGAAAAAGAAAATAAGGACAAACAAAAACACGATAGAAATAGGAAATAATAAACATCTTTAAATAAACTTCATTTTTTTCAAAAATCAATATAATCAATGTGATTTTATTTGCAGATATTCGAAAGTATGACGCGAATATGGTTGTTGTTGGGTGTTCTGGCGGTGGCTAGTGGCCAGATCGCTTACCCGGGTCAATACAACACGATGACGACTAACATCGGTCGTGCCTCGGCATTTCCATCTACTAATTACCAAGCGGATAGCAGTAGTCAACCCGTCCAAATCAATCAGCAATTCAATCCAGAATCCGCTGTCCAATCAAAGCCGGTAGAAGGACAATTTTACCCTACGACCACACACTTACCCTTGTCAGCAAATACTGTACTGACAGCCAGCCCGCAATCGACGTCGGAAGCTTGGCGTAATCATGTAAATTATTGCTATTTGCACACACAATCATGATCATTAAATCTTTCATGCATTCTTTTAAACTCTTGTATCTCATATTTCCTTTATGGTTGGATTTAGTCTTCTAAAAATATTAATGAACCAAAGAAATGATATTTGTTGTCAAATAATCACTTCATTAAAACTATTGATTTCAGGTAAACAATATTATATCCAAGGGAATCACACAGTTTGCTCTGGACTTGAATAGAGCGATTGATAAAACCTTAAGCACAATGACAACTAATAATCGCGAGAACGTGATCTTCTCTCCGCTCAGCGTATCTGTCGCGTTGTCATTAGTCCTATTGGGTTCCGCTGGTAAGACCTTCGACGAAGCTACCCGGATACTCGGCTTAGAGACTGGTATCGATATATCCCAACATTCAGAAATTGTTCATCAAATGTTTGGTCAGCTCCTGGCCATAATGAATTATAGGGTTGAGGATAGCAACATGCCGCGCGTGAATTCTGCCAGTGGTATTTTCGTCCAGGTAAATTTTAACATTCTGATCATTTATATGTTATAGAACAATTTGCATCTAATTATAAGCGTAACAAAATGTCGAAGCTGATCGAGTAAAGTCTGTGATGAAGTTTTAAAAGAATATATCAAAAAGTATTAGTAATCTTAAGTTATACAAATTATTAAAAATAAAATTCGAGGATTGAACTTGAAGGGTGTAAATAGATAAAAATATTTTTCTTTATTTCAATACAAAAATTTCCTTTTAATAGATTTTACGAATTTTTAATTTCTATTCTAGCAAGGATATCCGATTCGACCAGAATTCCGCGCGATCAGCGAGAATGCGTATAATAGCGAAGTGATAAATTTAGATTTTCGCACAAAAGCCAGAGAAGCGCGAGACATAATCAACGCATGGGTGAAGAAAAGAACAATGGATAAAATTGATAGTATATTGGACGAACCGCCACGTGCAATGACAACTGTGATTCTTTTATCAGCGCTGTATTTTAAAGGAGAATGGAATCAACATTTCTTGGAAGGTATGACACGGAGGTACGTTTTGCTATTTATTTGGCCAGAATAACAAAAAACGTCTTCATTTTTATACTTTTGATAATTGAAATATTTTTTTATTACAGGAAACCATTCTTCATCGAACCGAATAACACA